GGATGTGATATGCATGGACGATGGATGTGATACAACGGCGAAAAAAAAACACCTCGCCGGCGTATTGCGTCGTCGTCTGTCCGTAGCTCGCATATGGACAACGTATGTAAAATTTTCTTGCTTTTGTGCGTGGGTTTGGGGCAGAGACCAAAATTTATATAAAGTATGTTTAATATTTTTATAAGTTAATTAATATGTTATTATATAAATAAAATTTGTGTGTGTGTGTAAAAGAAAGAGAGAGTAGGTGTTTATTTCTAGGTCTTAGTAGTAGTTCACTTGAATAAGAAATCAAAGTCTTGGAATTTGAGAAAGAGGTGAATCAAGGTATTCAAAGAAGGATAAGGTAAAGATTTATAAGTTCCATGCATTAATTATGTAAATTAGTTTAATTAAATGTGGTATCAATTGCATATCAAAAAATTTTATGAATTAATTTTAGTGATTTTAATTTATCAAACAATTAAATTAAAGGAAAATAGAGAGGTCAAAGTGCTAGGGGAAGTGAAGTGAAGGGATAAGTGTTTCAAATGTCTTTTTAAATTAAGATGAGAGAATACTTTCTTTTATGCATTAAATTAATATTTAATTAAATGAATAAATAAACTAAATGATTTAAAACTAATATTCATTTATGAATTTCATTTTGAAAGTCTGAAATGGTATAAGGGATGAGAGGAAAACAACAGCCTGATAAAGGTACATTTTAAATGATTTTAAATTCATATTAAATGAAATGTAAAGGTTTAAGTTATACAAGAATACCCCCAGATACTACTAGCAGAAGACGCGATGTACCTGTACACATTAAAGAAATAATAAAAGTGCACCTTCGGCTGTAAATTTGAACATACCTTCGAGTACATTTTTTAGGGTGCCTTCAGACACATTTTTTAGGATACCTTCGGGTATAACAGTAATCTTGTTATGACTTTTAAAAAAGTTAAAAACGGTAAATACTTAAAGTGAAACGAGAATTAATATATTTAAATTTTTAATAAAATGAACTGCATTTTCTTTTGATCATTCATGAATAGTATAACATAAAAATTTAATGCATATTATATTACAATTACTCACTAAGTCGTATTTATGGTTGCAATTAACGGTTTCTTTTAGGAAAATGAAAAGCTTTAGGTTGATATGTCTGATAGGAGAGACTTGGTTTACATGACAACTGCAATTGATAGAAACCAGTATGTTATGTTTATAATTTCATTTTGTAATGGTTTTTTTTATAGAAATATATGATTGTGGATTGGGATTTTTTTTGCAGATTTTATGTTGCCGTCGGATGATTTAAACTTCCTTATTGCACATATGGATTATTAGCCGCACTTTTATATATATTTGGAGTTTTAAAAATTTGAATGATTATATGTTAATACCGTCTGACCGCAGTACCCATTTTAGCTCATTCTAAGCACCGAACTGGGTCTTAACAACTTGTTTCTTTCTATAAATTCCTCGGTATTTATTTCAATTGTTTGATTCTTTTCTAAAGAATTCAGAGTTGTTATGTTCTGTGATGTCAGAAACAAAAAAAGTGTTTTAGGACAGATTTTTTGTAAGTACAAATCCCAATTCCAATTTCAATCATAAATAAGAAGCCCCTAAGTAGGGTATCAATTCAAGTTAATGGAATGGATAAGGTCAAACCAAAATTTGACTCGACTTAAAACTGTTTAACCAAAACGCGGCCCATTTAATGTCAAGGTGAGAATGTCAAGGCTAAACCAGACTCGACATAAACCTAACTGACCCGAACCCGACCCATCTTACATGTTCCATTATATGGTTAATGTTCATTTTTTCAACACAACGTAGTTATCTCAAATATATCAATTAAAGTGATGGAGAGTTGTCAACAAATCAAAGAGATTATGCATTTTAGAACAAGAATTTAAACGCGTTATATTCAGGTACCCAACCCATAAACCCATATATAATCAGAAATTTTCAATGCAAGTTAGTTTCAGGTTATCTGTTAACACCACTAACATTAGGCATATAAAATTAATATTGTCTTAGCAAAATTTCAAATTTCTCTCAAAATTACATTTGTGGATTCTTCAAGTTTTTAAGTCTAGATCTTCGATGACTTCTATCCTTGTTCCTTTACATCTACGCACTTTATAATTGATTTTTGGCTGCATGATTGAGATTGTCAAGTCTTTACACAATCAAATTTTAATCTCAAGTCTTTAGAATCTGATTTTTCTTTTTGCAATGTGAACCTTGATCTCAACAAGAGTTTTATTTGTAATCAAATTTCTAGCAAAATATCATTTTTGGTCACTTATAAATTATCATTACAAAAACTGAGAGTACGAAAATTAAGAGGTGCGATTTTTGTGTATTCTTGTACATCCTATCGTAAGTATTCATTATTAATTTCTACGACAATTTACATCAATAGAAATCTTTGTACAAAATTGAAATGAAATCAAGTAAAGATGTAGTCATTTATTATTTTTAATATGATTATATATCCATTTCATCTTTGACAGCTTTAGTTGATCTTGCCAACCCAATCTCTTTGGTAATGCCCCATCTTTAGTCATTTATCTTCAAGAAGCATCAATTTTGTGTCTCTACTTTTCTAAACCTTACGCACTCAACAATCTCTCTTTTAACATGCAACATGTGTGATGATCACCATCTTCATCTATCATTTTCGACTAGCCAAACACCATGTCAAATACGTCACTTTTCGTTTTCAATATTTTCTTCGCACCTGATGTTGCCTCTTGCTTCATAATCTCAATTCACCCAATATCTTCATCCTTATTGTCCTATGGTTCACCTACCATCTCTATCAACTCATATGACTTCGGTAGCACTTCTGATGCCTTCATTTCCAGACTATAAGGAGTTGGTTATCTTTTCAAGGCTCTGACGTTTTGGCTTTACGTACAACTTTCAGGTTCTAAGTCTTTGTCTTCATTTTGATCTGTGTTTGCCATTGAGCTAAATCCTCGTCTCCAACTGGCTTGGCACATAATGCCTTATTCTCATATTTACTTTCATGACAGATTCTGTAACCTGCAATATCAACAATGGTTCACCTAGCACCAATCTCTAAGGACTAATCCGTCCCCTAGAGAATGTCTTTTTCGAGCATCAATTAACTTTGGATCAAAAATTTCAATAAGCTGTTAAAGAGCTCTCGATTTGAATATCTAAATTCTTCAAGCTTTACACAAACTCGAGCTGATTAGAACTCTTGATGCTCCTTGTTGTATAATCATGAGTTTGTGGTGTGATATTAAGAATTATTAGAATTACTATGCTATAGAATATTAATTTTACACATGCTTAATACTTATAAGAAATATATAATATTTAATATATCTTCATAATTGAGGATATTTTTCTTCATGTTATTTTCTTCATCACTCTTTACTTTTGCCATTATAGAAATATGTTTGTGCTAGTATTATGATCAATCAAAAAATGCTGTCGTGGTTTATAAGTTTAAATAAAAAATATATATATCTGTGCACATATGTAAAATGAGTGCCATATCCTTGGGGGAAGCACAGTTTCATAATTTTAGTGCTGATAAATGTAGTATAATTGTCCTTCGCAGCCCGCAAAAGCACCAGACTATTTTCTCGACTATTAAAATCAATCCCTATCATAATACTCAAAAAATACACTTTCAGATCCTGCAAGTTAAACCAATTGATTTTGCCCATCAAGCACAATCCTACGTTCACCATTTTTCTTTCAGAACTACTTGATTGTCAACCAGTAAAAAGGGAAATGATTCTTCAATTTAGAATCCAAAAAATGATTTATGCTGAGTTTAAATAAATGCTACAGTTTGCAGCACTCCTTTAACAAATATGATATGAGCAGGTCTAATCATGATGTGGCACCAATTCTCTAGGACATGGGTTTTTTTCCCAGAAAAATGCACAATTCTTATGTTTTTTACATATCTCACACCTAAATTTTGATATTTGCATGGTGCTTTAAACCTAGGCATGAAAAGATATATTTCACATTTAAAAAGTGGTAATACTACGATTTTTTATGCTAAATGATTTGAGTGCTATGTGTAAATTTGAAATTTTATGTGTGAGATGTGTAAATACATAAGAATTGTGTGCTATGCATGCAAACCTAATGTTAGAAGTTTCAAAAAAACAAATTACCATTTTACCTTAATCAAAATCAAAAGTTCTCAATATACAGAAACATGGATAGTCTCTGTTTTAGAAGCTGAAAAAAGAGGGTACTAATATTTAAATCTTACCAGATGACCACATCCAAATGCCATGTCCTTGCGGTTTGTTAAGCAAATCGGGCAGTCCTACAAGCAAAATCAGCAAGTAAAATCAAGCTGGTATTTGTTCATAAAAATCTAAGCCAAAATTGTAAGAAGAAAGTACCTGCTCTGTTGAAGGATTACTGCTAGTTGAAGCCAAGTTTGCCGCATCATCCATTTCAATTACTCGAGAGGGAGGAGGAAGAACCACTGATGCACCAATTCGCCCTCGTCTGATAAATTACAAAGGTTTTGAACTCGCAGTGAAATCAATAAATATCACAAAGAATAATTTAGCACAGAAAAATGTAATAGACTTTACTTTATAGGTCTTAGGGCTTGAGTTGCTTTATATTGAAATGGAATTTCCATCAGTGCAGCTAAGGCAAAGGCTGCCTCCATCTTTTCTGTTTCCATGCTTGATGACATGATCTTAGTGAAGTTTACGAACTGCTTAAGTATGAATAAGGACCAAATTGAACAAAATTAATTGATATGAAACAAAAACATGGGGCATTTACATACACACCACCTAATTCCTTGGTATTTACATATCAAACCCCTAAACTTTACTTTTTAAATAGTGAAATACACCTTTTCATTCATAGGTAAGGTGGCATGTATGCGAAAATTAAAGTTTAGGTGTTATATTTTTAAATACATAGGAACTGAGTGGTACCAATGAAAATCTTCCCAATATTTACAAAAGTTAAAAGGATATAAGAAAGGATCATAAAAATATAAATTTGATCAAAATTAATTATATTTGTTTGAGCATTGAGATGTATTAATCCTTGCCTAACAACGCACCTGAAAGTTATCAAATTCTCTCCTAGGAATGCTATCATCGAAGTGCTGCATCGCATCCCAAGGCCCGTCACCCACACCAACCATAATGATTGAAAGAGGATAGAGACTGAAGAGTCAAAAAAGGTTCAAAACAAAATAGCAAGCTTTGTTGAAGGTAGGGGTGTAAACAAGTCAAGTCGAGCTCATGCCACCCTCGGCTTAAACTTGAGCTTAAATAATTAATCGAGTTCAAGCTCGAGCTTAAGTCTACAAGTTTGAACTGAGTCACGAGTCAGCTTTTTTATAATGAATGAAAGAAACAATACTAATTTAAGCTAATGATAAAATGATAAAAAAATAATTAATTAGGAGATAGATAAAAAGAAATCATTTAATATAATTTTTCAATGTCTCTTATAATTTATAGATAAAGTCTTAAATTTTAATATATTTAATATTAATATTATTTTTTAAACGAGCATGTGAACTTATCGAGTCGAGCCAGAGCAAGCTCAACAGTCACTTTGGCTTAGTCACACCCCTAATTGGGGGCATTGCAACGATGTGTGCCACTGATGCACTTCTGCTTTCTTGGATCCAAGTCAGAGATAGACGCCAGGAAAGCCACTTCTTGGTGAGGAGGGGTGTGGGAATGCCGCCAACCCAGACATGCTGCATATGACGCCTGCTGCTTCTATGTATTGGTGGCAGCAGAATACAAGCCCATATATTAGAATGAGATATAGTGTGTTACCTTGCAAAGACAATAGCATCCATTGTTGCACGTTCTTGAGGACTGAAACTCCCTCTTGGAACATCTGGGTTTCTGGTAACCTGGATTATTGTGGCATCATTAAAATCAAAAGAAGATTACATAGATACCACTCAATTCCTATGTGTTTACATATCTAACACTTCAACTTCAATCATTACGTACATCCCATCTTACCTCAACTTCAATCATTACGTACATGCCATCTTACCTATGCAAAAAAGGTGTGTTTCATTTTTTAAGAATTAAGACAGTGGTATTTTTTGTATGATTTAAAAGATTTGGTTGGGATAAATAAAAAAATAAAATATAGTTGTCAGATATTTAAATTCATAGGAATTGAGTGGTATCTATTCATTGCCCCTAAAATCAATTTAAACTAAGCGAGCTGAACACGGAAATTCAAACTTTATTAACCTGCCCATCAGCAATAATTACAAGCACATGGTATTGTCCATTACTCCTCTCAACAATATCGATTGCTGCATGAATCAATGGAGCAAATGAGGTTGGCCCTGCATGGCAATCAAAAGATATGGAATTGAAAGATCGATGAACAATTCAGTATGAATTATTCTATTTAGCATATCATTTATTTGATTATAATTGGTGGAATGTTTCAGAACAAGCCGAATAACTCGATCAACATGACGGCATCAACAAATCTGGCAAAACGTTTCCAAAAACTAATGAAGAATATTAATCATCAGTTAGTTCATATATTCAGCCATGCAAAATTTTAAAAGTTGAGGCACTCTAATTATGTAAAAATTGGCATATCTATTGACAAATAACCTTCTGTGCCCTATGACACTTTATGAATTTGCCATGAAGATCATTCCTTATCAAAACTATGCACCATAGAAAATCACCATCACAACCATCATTAGCCTTATCACAAGTATTTCATGATGGAAATCAGAAAGTATACTTCAAAAGTATAGGAAGTTATAATCTTATATGAGTTGTATCAGTATATATTATTTTATTTTAATTTATTGTGTAAATTGTACATGATGTCGCTCCAATATTTATAGGATGTATTCTCTAGTTTTTTTATTTAGTTAGTTACGTCTACCTCATCCTTGCATAATTTCAACTCCGCGAATTAAATTCCAGTCAGAACATTTCGAGTTTAGATACCCATTATTATATTACCCATTTTTGATAAACTACGAGCGCAAAATTACCAAAATAAAGCATATAAAAAATTCCGATTTTTTTGAAATTCATCAAAAATCATTTCATTGCATCCTATCAAAATAATTATTTTGATATATAGAACAACATGCTAATTCTCAATGATCAGGAAGTAATGGAATTAGTTTCAGTTTTGATTAAATTTTACTTAAAGTTTTAATTTAATTTTTCTACTCACAACACTATAGCTATGGTGGAAATCCAAAATTAATTGCACTTTGGACAAGATGCAGCAAGCCAACGATGTTATAGATTGTTGAGATTTAATCAAGGAAATTTGAAAAGATAAAATTATATATAAGCATATGAATGTATTCTACTTTATCTTCAGCTCGTATCCCTTAATTTCTATATCTCGTAACCCTTCGTTTTGGCATAGTAAAAGGCTAGGGTGGGAGTCGGTCATGAGAAAGTCAGTGGGGAAATAGAAAATCAAGGGAAAGGTACACCTTACCCAAACTGCTTGAGTTGTACGCCTCGACAAGTTTTTTTTTTTTTTTTTCAGATTGTGCTGAGGAGAGGCTCAACGCCTCAAATTGCGGAATTTTAAATAGTGCCATCCGGTAAGATTGTAGGAGAGACATTTGTAAGGCAGGAGATTGCTTTTAAGATAACAAAAATGTCTCATATGAGCGAGGATCAATGCCTCAAATTGCGGAATTTTAAATAGTGCCATCGGGTAAGATTGTAGGAGAGACATTTGTAAGACAGGGGATTGCTTTTAAGATAACAAAAATGTCTCATATGAGTGCTTAGTGATGGCTTTCGTAACAATAAATCACCTAATACTTTCATAATAATTTGTAACCTTTTCGTGAAAAATACGTAGTTATCTTCTTTAATAACAATCTGTTTTATAACAAATCAAGGAGCACTTAGTATAATTTAAGAAAGTCCTTAAAAAGTTATAAACAAAAATTTTATCTCTAAATCCAAATTTGAAATAAGTGTCCATTAATCACTCCATTCATTATATACGCATTGGCTATCCTTTATCAATGCTTTATCAAAGGGCTCGACGCTACCATTGTACCAATTACTATTTATCTTATAAAGAGATGAATTCCAATGGACAAAATCTGTTGAGTGTGGTTATAATAACTGACCGGTTCAAAGATTACCTTACCTAATTTTAAATTTCTAAGAATTTATGCGCTCATCTGCATTAGGAATCAATGAATTAACCTAGTATGGGCATATAATCGTTTATTTGGTTGAAATTTTAAAAAACAAAAATATATTCCAACTTCAGTGCAAGTTTAGACTATAAAATCACTTTAATATTAGAGGCATTATTAGATTTTCAAAGGAATTGTTCTATGTTTGGATCACTATCCTTTAAAATATTTAAGATCACAAAAAACTAAGTAATAAGCATGAGTTGAATTTCTATAGAAATACACGTCTGTGCTAAAACATTGCAATGAAATCAACAATAAATCTATAGATGCTAGATTGAAAATTTA